CAAACCTAAGATGGAATTTACTATACATTAGTAAAGTTCATCAGTTTACATTTTCTCTGGTAGTAGCTCTTGATGGGATCATCCTCTCCCAGGAGCATTGCAGATGGAGGCAATGGCCAGGAAGTATGTTGCAGACCTTCAATGGTGCATCTATTGAGGTTTAACTGGACTAGAGTGCCCCAATTTCAGTAACTTACAACTAGATCTCCTTGCAACTGGATTACCGTAATGCACTCTAAGTGTGGCTGCCTTTGAAGATGATTGAGATACTACAGCCTGGAACAAACTGCAGTGGTAAACCATTAGTTGGGAAGATCCATAGCGTATGTGAATACTGTAGTTTTTGCACTGTTTGCCATTAAAATTCTGGGCCAATTCAAAGTGTTGATCATTACCTATAAAGTTCTACAAAAAGTGATATCCATGTACAATTCTCCCCATCCAATTCAAATACTGAAGGAGGTCAAGGAGGCTTGAACTAGAATTCAAACTTTTTTCCTCCTATGGAATATGCATGCCAGGAGATATGACTATCTCCTCCTGTCCTTTCGTTCTGAAAAGCCCTCTCAGTTGAACTTTGAGACCCTATAATTAATTATTAGTGTAATATTTGCATTAAACCTTTCCTTACCCAATGCCACTCATGGGCCAGAAGGCCCTTCACCATAAAAAGATGGTACAATTGTTTTTAACTATTTGAGACTGCATGGATTTTCTATTAATTCACAAATGAAAACAATTATTTTAGCCTTTGTACATTGCCTAAGATGAAGATATAAAAACCATCTCAATAATAAATTCTCTATTTATATTTAGCTAAAATCTTTTCAGCACAATCTAGAAATAAATAAATCATCAACATCTGGTAAAATAAAATGTTAATTTGTCTTCTGTTTCTTTTAAAATAAAAAACAAATGTGTATTGTATATCCATAAAACGTTGCATTGATTTCCGTGACATTTGTGTCCTATTTCACTTTGATAATAATTTATCAGAGCAAAATTCTTTCTGGCTTTCCATATTAAAAATCTGAATTTCTTGTATACAGTTACTCTTCGGGTTTTTAAACAATGCTGTCCAAATAAATCCATTGTTGCCCCAATGCCTTCCTTGAGTAGTTTTTTGAATGTTGTGCATATCTGTTCCTGAGTTCATTGTTGTTTTCCCTAGACAGGATAGAAATGAATAGAAAGTCAATAACGCTGGGCGTGACCCTACAGTGAGTCAGGCCCATAGGCAAGAATCACTGAAGAAAATTGGCAATTTCTCCTGAGCTTACCCAACCCCAGCTGTTCCGCTTTAATTTGGGGAAATAAAAGTATGAAGGTCCCAACATGTACCCCCTATGTTGCCATCAGATGGAGAAGAACATTCAGAATACTTACATTGACTGTGTTGCTAGTCCATGTAACCTTTGAACATGCAATGGAGGAAAATCTTTTTGACTCCTGCAGTTTAGGCCACTTTTATGTTAACGTTACTGACATTGTTGTGTGTTCATATTTTTCCTCTGCCAGTATTTTAGCAGTGTGGAGAGAGAGAAAATAAAAGTTTTTGTTTTTCCCGATCTTCTTCTGGTTCCTTCCTCTCGCCTCACTTTGTTGCAGGCAGAATCAGAGAAGGAAAATGTAGAAAAGGTGGAACATCTCCCCTAATATGTCTTCCGTGACCTTTGTGCTTGCTATTGCCACTTACTAAAAAGGGTTCAGATCAAACTGTCTTCCCAAAATATGGGATTGAGACCCCTTCTGTAAAGCCACTAGCTTTGCCTCCCAAATAATTGGAAGCAGTTTCAAACTACCAGGCAGCATTCACTAAATGCCCTTTCCTTTCTTATTGATTGATTGATTGATTGATTGATTGATTGATTTGATTTGATTTGATTTGATTTTTATACCACCCTTCTCCAGCAGGACTCAGGGTGGTGAACAGCCAAGGTAAAACATAGCATACAAAATTTAAAACAATTTAAAATGATATTAAATAATTAAAAACACCCCAATAAAATCAATTACAAATTAAAACTGAAAGATGTGATCAAGCCAGCCTGGCTAGATGAAATAAGTGAGTTTTAAGGGCCCGATGTAAAGTCCGGAGGCCGGGATCATGCATATCTCTGGGGGTAGGTCGTTCCAGACAGAGGGTGTTAGCTAGCCAATGTGGATTTTTTCCCCCAATCATGTGGAGTGGTTTTTTTAAAAAAATGATAATTAGCAAACAGATAGTCTTCACAAAACCAGATTGTGTTTGGAAGAATACAAAGCCACTTTCAGCATGACTGGAAACCCTGGCTGAAGTGACAAGCTATCTCTTTGCTTTTTACTTTAGAAAAGACTGGAGAAATTCAAGAAGAGTCAAGGTGAGTTGGGAGCCAAAGGGGAACTGACAACCTCACCATTTTAGAGGAAAAGTATGAAAATGGTATGTGAGAATGACCTTGGGAGACAGAGGGAAGACCTGCAGCCTAAGCAATAATCTGATAATAAAATATGAACCTGAAGGAGAGTAGTGGAAAGTAGAGAAAGGATCTCAGAAGAGACTCACCTAGCTTTTTGGAGCATAAAAATAAGAGGCGGAAGGGGTTCTTTCAGAATTGCAAGATTTTGTTGATGTCAACTCTGTTAAATCTGTTAAATCTTACATTAAAGATAGAGTTGATATTCACAGTTGTGCTTCTTGCCAGGGCTATCTTGAATGTTTGTCATGATCTTCTCCCCCTCTCCTCCCCCCCCACCTTTTGTATTACCTCTCAAACAACCATGTAGCCAACTTCTGGAGTGAATTGAATTTGCAAAGACCACTAGAAGTACATAGCATCGTGGAAATATACATGTTCCATGCCAAATGTGCATATCCTGTATACATGGCCCCAGAAGCACATTCTACTGATGTTCTCAATGCGAAAATGATACAGATATAGAATTGGGCCTTAAAATCAGACCAATCTGCATAAGAATTTTGTTTCCTCTTGCATATTTATCTTTCCATAAGAAAACTGTAGAACTAATGTGGTAGAATAGGTAGCTAAGAATTCTGCCCGGGGACAGGGATTAATTAGTTTGCTTTATGTAAATATTTATATCATTTTTATTGATTATGTGCAATCAAGTTATTATTGACTCTTAGTCACCACATAGATTTTCTCTGTGACTTATTGTCCCTAACCCAGTCTTTCAGATCTTCTATCAGGGCATTCATCGCCATTGTAACTGTGTCCATCCAACTTGCTGCTGGTCACTCTCTTCTTCTCTTCTCTTCCCTTCCATTTTTTTCCAGGATTAAAGCCTTCTCAGGAAAGATAGATCTTAACCTAATGCCTCTGTCGTAGGATAATTTTTGCCTGGTCATTTGTGCTTTGAATGAGAATTCTAAGTTGATTTATTCAATTATCCTTTTTTTTTCCATGGCTGTCCATGATATTTTCTTTTCCAACACCGAAATTCAAAGTTGTCAATACTCTCCCTATCCTACTTCTTCAAAGCCTTCAACATACACTTCCAGGGAATACCATGTTTTTCATGGTTCTGCTCTTTCTAGCTCTTTTATAGAATACAAATATTTTATCTTGGTTTAGGTAATAATGAAGCTACCTAAAATGAGAAAAAGACTGATTTCAATTTTTTCCCCAGTTCCTATGACAGATTAGTCCAGGGGTGTCAAACTCATGGCATCATGTTATTGTCACCTGATGTATCACAACTTTTTCCCCCTTCACTAAACTGGGGGTGGGCGTGGCCTGCATGTGATGCATCCAGTCTGCAGGCCACGAGTTTAACACCTCTGGACTAGTCCTTCACTTATCAGCTGTGTATGACTGAATATAGAATATTGTCTAATATTTGACTGTTAAAAGTTCCAGTCTTGTTCATGGGAGATTGACAGGGCAACCAGAAAAAATTATCCAGACTGACTACTCTTGCAAACATCCCTTGCTGACACTAAAACATCATCCTAAACCGGCCAAAAAATGGAAGCATAATCATCGAAATTGTCCCCAAAGTGCTTTTTTTTTTTTTTTCAAAAGGCAGCTGGATTTTATTTTTCCTTGAAGACATTTTGCCTCTTATCAAAGAAGCTTCTTCAGTTCTGACTGAACGTCTCTTCCAAGAAGCTTCTTCAATCAGAACCGAAGCCAATTGCCTTTTATTTATTTATTTATTTATTAGTTCAATTTATATTCCGCCCTTCTCCGGAGACTCAGGGCGGCTTACAATGCATTAAGCAATAGCCTTCATACTTTTGTATATACCTGCTTAGTAGGGCTTTCGGCCCCCCTCTAAGCGGTGTTCTTTTTTTATACAAAGTCAGCTTATTGTCCCCACAATCCTGGATCCTCATTTTACCTACCTCGGAAGGATGGAAGGCTGAGTCAACCTTGAGCCTGGTGAGATTGGAACTTGCAGTAATTGCAGGCAGCTGGTGCTAGTTAACAGCACTTTAGTCTGCTGCGCCACCAAGGCTCTTTTTTTGGAAAAAAGAAAGAAAAAAAAGGCACCTTTGAGACAACCATGACCTGGATGACTGAGAATCCCCCATAGACAAATCATCGAAATTATTCCGTGTTATTCCAGATAGGATAGAATATTGACTGTTTCACTTTCTCCAACCCCACTATAGTTTAGTGAGGCGGTTAAGAATCGGCAAAAATTTGGGGCGTGTGTCTGCGGGAGAAAGAAAAGAAAAGAAAAGAAAAGAAAAGAAAAGAAAAGAAAAGAAAAGAAAAGAAAAGAAAAGAAAAGGGCTGTTTCTGCGGGGCCACTTGGAGGCGTTTTCCCCACGGCGCGCGCGCTCCTTTAAAATTGCGGGGAGAAAACGAGAGGCGAACCCCACTACTCTCCAACGTATATGAAGCGCGTAGTAGGGGAATTGCTGCCCCGCTCGTGATTGGCAGAAGAACCGTCCAGGAAACGGCTCAGGTTTCAACTTCGGGGGAGTGACCAAGCGAAGGAGGGGAGGAGAGGGAGAAAAAAGGGGTTTGTTGTAAGAGTTGATAAAGCTTTAGAGTTTGGCGGCGAGAGGATTCTGAATGGATCCCGAATGATCGGGATTCGAAACATCTCTATTACCGTCCTGCTTTTTTTTTTGGGAAAGAGAGAAAGAGAGAGAGAGAGAGAGAAAGTTTTGGGAACGGCCGTAGTCTTTCTCCATCTGGATCCTGGAGTGAAGCGCGGAGAACAACACAAAAAAGATTTTTTGTTTTTTGGGGGATACTCTGATTTTTGTCTCTCTCTCTCTCTCTCTCGTGACTGTTTTAAATTTAATTCTTTTTTTTTCCCCGTCCTTTTTTTTTTTTGTTTTGTTTTGTTTTAAACTGAACGCTTCTACCTCCACTCCCCCTCCTCCGCCGTCTGCCCCAAGGAGTTTTGGAGCGGAGGGGAGAAAGAAGGGAAAGGGTTTGAGGCGCGGGGATGGAGGTGGTCGCCGCCGAATCCCCCCGCCCGGGTTCGTTGGGACTTCGGGCCGACGTCTTTGAGCGCCCGAGCGTGGAATAAAGTCGGAGGCGATTATTGTGGGATTTTTTTTTCTTTTTTTAAATTTTTGTTATTTTTGCCAAGCTTGTTTCTGTCTCCCTCTTCTCCTCCGGACAGCCTGTCTGCGTCGCTCCGTCCGGTACGCACGCCTGGGCAAGGGAATCAGCAGATCGTTTTGTCGGAGCCTTTTCATATAAGGTAATTGGACCGGGCTTGGCTTGGAGATGAGAGGCGCACAGCGGCCGGGGGAGGGGAGGCGGAGAAAAAGACGAGGGGGGAGAGAGAGAGAGAAGAGAAAATCGGCTGGCCAAGACGGCGTAATCCCCCGCTTTCCAAGCTCTCAAAAAGCACGGATCCCTCCAACTCTTTCTTGCTAAACTCCCCGCGCCCCGCTTCCCAAACGATTAACTTTGCGCTCGGCGGAATGGAGAATTTGCAACGTGCGGTTGCCGGTTAGAATTTGCAAGATGGTACATAGTTGTGTTTTTTTTTCCCCTTCCCGAGGCGGGGAGGAAGGGGGTGGGCATCCGGAGCGGGGTCGTTCCAAAGTTTGGCAGCTTTGTCAAGTTTTGTTTTCTTTCTTTCTTTCTTTTTTTAAAGCGAGCTCTGTCGCTTAGGTGGGTGGAATTGGTTAAACCAGGTGCAGCCCTACCTATCCAGACAGGGACCCTCAGGTGGGTTGAGCTGCAGCCCCCAGTTGCGATCCGTCTGACGTGATGGAGTGGAGGGGCTGCTTCTCTGGAAGAGCCGCCTGCGGCTTCTGACAGGTTCCTTCTTCTCTCTCTCTCCCCCGCCTAGTAAACCGATTTCAATCCCTTTTCTAAACGACGCTTGTCATGAGCGAGATTTCACGATGAGGTGCTTTACGTGGAAGAGTTTACGAGGGAATTTAAAAAACAAAAAAATTCCAGGCGTACTGAGTTTGACGGGAATCGAACTCAGGGTGGGGAATGAACGTCTCGGCTGCGCGCTCTTCGCTGCCTCCCCGGTTCCTATCTAGCAGATCGATCTAGAATCTTTCCTGGTTCTCTGGTTTTTCAGGATGGATCTTTCCGCCTTTGCCTTAGCAGTCCTTGAATCTGAAAAGCCCCATTATGTGAGCTCCTGATGCCCATAGTGTTAAGAGTTTTCCCCTCTTCCAAGTCTATCCCCAAAACTTGTTGTACTAATGCCTTAATTATTACAACAGGCTTAATTAAATTCCCATAACTCTTTTCCAACACTGGTTTAACAGAGAACGCTGGAAGTACAAATAAACATTTTAGCCTATGCCAAGTTCTTCCCTGCCCCCCACTCCCGATTTATGAGTTGGCTTCAAGGGACAGAATCTCAAGTTCTCCCTGGAAGAATTTTATGCTGAGGTTTTTAGCTCCAGCATCGTGTTTTTAAAATGCTGAAGACCCATCCTGATCCCTCCGATGACGTTCCAGATAATGAAATATGCATGGCATGTTGTAGTAAAAAAAAGAAAAACAAACGTTGCCAATTATCATGGTTGAAACAGGATCTGAATTGTAGAGCTCCAATTTGCTTGGCATAATGTTTAAAGGACTTTGATTTGAAGAGAAGGGATTTCAGAGGAAGAAGTGGCTGTGGCTTCAGAGGAACAAGTGGCAGCCTCAAGTTACATGAGCTCGACATATGTCATACCTACATGTTTGCAAATTCTTTTACTTATTGCGCCAAAGACCCAGCTAGGAAAAATGATAACACATGGAATCCTTTAGTGAATGCTATACAGCAGTATGTGTATCAAAAGCAAAGATTTACACGGGCTTAGTAGAAACGTGCTGTAGTACTAATGCAAACCAAAAGAATTTATCCTTGAGGATCTTTACTATTTTAGGTCTCTTCCCTTTTCAGGGTTCAGAATTTAAGGAGAGAAAGAGAGGAGAGAGAGAGAGCCTCTTTCACCCCCAATTGCTGATATTTTAATATATAAAAATGTCCTTTCAAATAATGGCCCATTATTTGGTTGGTATGAAGCACCCTTCGACATTTCAAACCTCATTGTCTTCCTTGTACAAATCCCTGTAAATCTTCTACTTGCCTTTACTCATTTTCATTTGAAAAGCCTGTTTGGTTTGAATAGGCTGCAATAAGCAGCCCCAGTACTCTTTTGGAATGTCAATTAAAATGCAGATTTCTTTCTCTGATCCATAGAGGTCTTGGGAGACACACAGGCTAGTCCTGAGGGTGGAGGTGGGAAAGTGACTGAAAAGAATTTGGACAATGCAAAACTATTGAGGCTGCTGGGCTGTTTTCCCAAATAACCTTCCAGAATTAATGTTTAATAGTTGATCACTTTGAAGATTATAAGGCAGAAAGAGAGAGGGGGCCCTGGTCTCCCTTGGCAATCAGCTCCAGTGTGCCATCAATTAATTGCTACCCAGTTAATTGGTTATACGGGCACTGATACATCAATGCACATATTTATTGCATTACTTAATGCCTAATAGGATAGACAGGCTGGCATATTGATTTAGACAACGTACCGGCAACAAATTCCAACCACTCGGGGGACTGATAAACATCACACACATAACAATGGGATGAGATTAAAATGAATACTTTGGCTTCAATTTAATTACTGCCAATCTAGAACAAGTACTACTTGTTTGCTTGTGTTTTTTTTTAAAAAAGAAAAAAGAAAAAAATGTAGAGCTTACAGCTTGAAGAAATTCATTTTGGCTCCCAACCCTGGACTGTTTCCCTCCCCACTCCAATGCTTGTCACTTTGGAACGACACTTTGGGCAGGTATGTGAAGAGGTGAAAATTGACTTGATGAGCAGGGTGGCAAGGTGAGCCATCAATCATGGGTGGCTGACAACTCCGCCCAGTATACAGCTGAGAGGAGAGACAGAGTTCTCTTTCAGAGGGAAAAATAAACACCATGTGAGGCTTTTGCTCAGCCTGAGACTCCAAAAGGGATTATGCTATTGTAGTCAGGAAGCCAGAATTGTGAGGGCCAAAAAAGCATGCTGAGGCTGTATTCCAAACATTGGGATGGGGGTCCGTAATGACTCAGCATAGGCGGGCTCACTCATAAGATCATTTAGTAGCAGTGCCAGCAAAGCGGGTTGGATAAATAGTTGGTTTTGTTTTTTCACCTGTGTGCCTTCTTCAAGATAGGCCCATCTGCTTTAGGAGATGAGGATGGGGTTCCATAAATTGGGAGAGGGAGGTAGTTAACGTGTGTTGGAAGAAGAGTGATGTAGTTAAATCTGACTTCGGTATGAATTTAAGAAGGCATAATTGCTTCCAGTGCCTGGAAGAATGAAAAGCTGTTTTTGTTAAAAGAAAAAGAATAATTGAAATTGGGTTCATTGGCCCTTGTCTTAGTTGATACTGGCTCTGCTAAGGGATATTTGTAGAACCACTGAATTCAGAGTTGGAAAGGACTGTTTAGAGTAGACCATCAAGTCTCACCCCCTGTTATGGACAGCAATCCAAATCAAAGTATCCCTGACAGATGGATCTCCAACCTTCTTTCAACAAATTGCTCTAACTGATAGGGGGTTATTTCTAGCATTCAGACAGAATCTGCCTACCTGTAATTTAAATCCATTATTCAGTGTCCTTCACTGTATGTCTGCATGTATGTTAGGGAAAAGATGTTGACTTCTTCTATATTTCCAGGAACTTGAAGAATGCTATTCTATTAGAATTATTTCTTCCATTTATACTAGACTCCATCTTTCTATTTTGACAAGTACTTAAGGCAGGTACCATATGTAGCCATTACCCTTTCCTCTTCTCAAAGCTAAACATGCCTAATTCCTTCAGTACTTCTCTTCATAGGATATGCACGGTATGCCTTGAATATTGCTTTCTTTGTTCCTCATTGCATTCCCTGAATTTGTCCAAGTTCATTTCAAGCCCTTCTTAAAGTGTGCCCAGAACTGGACAAAGTACTTTAAAGTAAGGTCTGACCCAGAGTAAACTCACCCATCTTTTAAATTCTGCAGAACATATAATATATAGGACACTCATTTTTGCAATGACTTGCACTCTTGATTTCCACTGGGTTCAATACCTTGTTTCTTCTCAGCAAGAGCATGTTAAAGATTGCAGGTGTTGGAAGCATTTAGAAGATTTTTACACAGAACACAACTCTGCATGTCAATTGTTGTCTATAACCAATATAGAACTCCAGAGGTTAAATTGCTTCCTATGTCCCTTTTGTGGTACAATCCATATTTTCTAAGTTTCTTTATGCTTAGAGAAACTTTATGACTGGACAGACTGATTCAGTCTCACCAGGCTAGAAAGAAAACTTGAGTTCTAATCCCAGTTTAGCCATGAAAGCCAGCTGGGTGACTTTGGGCCAGTCACTGTCCCTCAGCCCAACCCACCTCACAGCATAGGAGGACGAAAGAGTCTTAGGTACGTTCAACATTCTGAGTTATTTATAAAACAATAATAAAGGCTTAATATAAAATTAATAAATGAATGACCAAATAAATATGAACAGTTCATGAAAAGAAATCCTGCCCTATCTCTGTTTACCCAAGCATATTATTGGAAAAGATAAAAAGAAGAATGGAATGCGTATACTGCTTCTGAATTATGAAGATCCACTAGCAGTATTCAGATTTAAAGTAGTACATTAGACAATCAAGACTGAATGTTTTTATTCCTTTGAGAATATAACATACCTTTCCCCCAATCTATTGTCTTTGCAATTGCAACTCTTATCATCTGTAGCCAAACTAAGTGAATGGGGGTTATAGGCAACATCATTCAATACATCTGTAGACACCAAGTTGGGAAAGATTTGAAAAAAACAACAACCTGATAATATAGTTTTGACCAATGTGTGGCAAAATCTCAGCAAGATTTTGTTTCTATTTCTTTGTTCTTTCTTCTATTCCCTTGTATGTAACTGATGAAAGCCGCCTGATACTTGAATGCTTTCCTTTTGTGCCCAGAATTATTTTACAAGTGTGTCTCATTTGTAGTGTAAAAATTATTGAAAGAGAAAAAAGAGGCAAGAATGAATGAATGAACCTGAAAACCTGGAGAAAATAAGGAAGACCAATATTTAAATCTTCCTGGTAGCACTATGTGTGTGTGTGTGTGTGTGTGTATGGAATGCTGTGGATGATACGATGTTAATTGCAATACAACTGTGAGGAAGATTATCTTGAAAGTCTAAGACTAAGCAAAGATTTGAACTATTGCTTTAGTCCAATGTTGATTTTGTTCCCTGAGCCCTTTATATACATCACCTCAAATAATATTTATGATTGACTTTTAAGTTAGGCCAATGCAGGTAGTCCTCAACTTACAACAGTTTGTTTAGTGACTATTCGAAGTTGCAACCACACTGAAAAGTGACTTATGACCATTTTTCACACTTACAACCGTTGCAGCATCTCCATGGTCATGTAATCAAAATTCAGATGCTTGGCAACTGGCTCATATTTATGACGGTTGCAGTGTCCCGGGGCCATGTTATCCCCTTTTACGACCTTCTGACAAGCAAAGTCAGTGGGGAAGCCAGATTCACTTAACAATTAACAATAATTTAAGAACTGCAGTGATTCACTTAACTGTGGCAAGAATGGTCCTAAAATGGGACAAAACTCACTTAACAAATGTCTCACTTAGCAGTATAAATGTTGGGCTCAGTTGTGGTCGTAAGTCAAGGACTACCTATATTTTGATTTCCATTATAAAGGCTGGGATTGAGATGGAAAGAAGTATCTAAGCTCAAACACTGAGTTCAAGGACGAAGGGATACATGTGAATCACAATCAAGGGATTGATTTTACAGCTGTTTTTGTTATCTGGTCTTCCTTCCATTCTGCTGGTATGGGGATAGAACAGTCCCTCTATACTTCTCCAGTCAGCCTGATTTGCCATACTTAAATGGAAATATAAACCTGCTAGGCAGGGACTTCATCCCTTGTATGGTCTGGGCAGCATCTACCTTGTTGAACAAGAATAGTTATAAACGTCATCGTGGCTAATCCTGAGTTCCTGATTTCAGGACTACTCCTTGTATATACAAATGGACATTCCTGCCCACAAATCATGAACTCAAGAAACAGTCTGTCATGCAATAACTTGCTCCAGAGCAGAATCCTCAGATAATTTTGCAGACGTAACTGCCTGAAAGGACACTTTATTATATACTTCCAACCAAGTAAGGCCATCTGTCCCTGAACTGAACATGGAGTTGCTCTATCTTTTATCTTGCCGTGTATGAAGGCATGAACCTTGATAAAGAGAGTCGGCTCTAATTGATTCTTGGCCTCCAGCCATGCAAATTCACAGGAGAGCTGCACAGTGCAAAAATAGAATGCAGTAATTTTGCAAAATGACACATGATAAGGCTGTGCATTTCGACAGTTATATTATTTGCTAAATACAAAATTCTTTTTTTTAAAAAAATACTGTACTTTAAGCAACAATCAAAAATTGGGGAAAAAAGTGCTATGCCGGGAAAAAAACAAACCCTAGTAAAATCAAATCTCTTTCAGCTTCACTTTTGATGATTTAATAAATTTTGTTTCCTTTTTTTTTTTTTTTTTGGTGCAACAAATTCCTGCAGTTTTCTTGGCACATTTTCACAAGTGGTTTGCCATTGCCTAATACCTAGGGCTGAGAAATAGTGAATGGCTGAAAGTCACCCCAATGACTTCATGCTTAAAGTGGGATTAGAACTCATAATTTTCTAGTTTCCAGCCTAGTGCATAACCACAACATAAAATAGCTTTTTAATGGATGTATGTACAAAGTTTCCTTAGTAAAATACATAATTGGCTTGCCATTGTCTTCTTCATTTACTCAATTACCCTCTAGGCTTGTATTTGTTATTGGTCCTCCAGTGAGATACTAAACAGGTCTAACTGTGGTTTGTCTTTTTAGATCAGCTCTAAGGTCAACTAAGTGTTGCCATCTGATTGGTTATCTAAAAGCATACAGAACCTTTAACATGTAGTGAAACCACACATTCCAAATTTCCCTTATCTGGAGACTATCTTCTAGTCCAGCAATCACTGCTAGTACTTCATATTAGTTGTTTCTATTTAGTTATTTTCAGTCTTGTTAGTATCTTCCAATCAAAAGAGTCTGGATTGTGTAAAGTAAAATATGAACAGAAAACAAGCATCCCACAGTATCAGTATATCATTTGCTCATTATTTAAACATATCAGAAATTGCTAAAAAATAATCACAACAATAACCACCAAACAATAATTACTGAATGCTTTTCTGTGCCTTCCTAAACATTATGGGCTTTCCTTGACTTATTACCAGCTGCAACATATTTCCAGAATATTCAGACAGGGCAGTTCAAATTTTCCATTAAAAGATCTGACAAAATGAATAAACTGTTAAGAATACAGAAGTGCCATGAGTGATTGTGACTGTAATATATTTGTGTCTCATTAATTTAATAATTTACAATCACTGAGAATAAAGATCCTTGATTCCAAAGATATCTGCATGTGGGATATAGGATTGCTTTTTACCTATAGAACATATATTTTCAGATACATTCAGTTAATATTGAAAATTGTAAGTGCTAAGTACTATTATGGTGTTTACATTGTTTCAGTTTAGAGGAAGATTACCTATAGTTCCACTTTACAGAAACAGCATAAAAGTAACTTTAGTAGATTACAGTGTTTCTAAACTGTATTATTGTAGGCTGAAGATGGTTAACTGTTTAAATCAACACCCATAATTTCACCACAGATAGAAAGCTAGCATATCAGTAGAATAGGCCAGGCTAAAGCTATTTATTTATTTATTTAATTTTTATGCCACCTATCCTACTGATATCATGGTATATTTGCTATCTATCTGTAGGAGAGGTTTTATTTCCCCCCCAGTGTTTATGGAATTTGATATTTCAATAAAATCTTAAAGTTCTGTACTGTATTATATGTTATTATGGTGGCTTAATCTTGGCTCAGTGATTCATCATGGGAGGTAGAATTTAAATTCAAATGTCCCAGGTCTGTGCTTGTTTTTATCAATATAATATTGTATTTAACAATTGTAGCTATCTTTCTTAAGACTAATTTCAAAATTAGGCAGAAGTTTTATTATGCTGCTGAAAGTTTTGATGGACTCAGGATCTTTGAGAAGAGATGACTATCTTAGTCAATACTAAATTGATACTACTTGAACTACTGCATTTATTTCTCTGATTTGCTCTCATTACTTAAATTGCCATCTCATTTCATGACATTATCTTGGAGTTTAAACAAAATTGGAACAGGAGGACAGTAGTTGCTTAAACTGAGGATGATTAAGGATACATATAGAGGGTGTTTCATAAGAATGTAATGTTGTCATTTTGGTGATGATCTTAGTTCACATTTTCTTTCTCCTTTTCTGTTTAGGAGAATTGGTAGAAGCTGGGAATAAGAAGATATTTACCAAGGCTTAAGTGCTGCTTTCAGCCCATGTTTGTTTAGAAGAGCTCAGATGGGATTAAAGTCCACATGGAGTTATGGAAGACAACCACAGACTGGCACTGAGAAGATGTTCAGTTGGGATTCATATTGCTGTATCTGCCTGGTGATGATCACCATGGCTGGATTTTCCTTGGCTAGGCCATCAGACAGTCTAATTGGTGAAGAGACTACTTCAGAACCTGGAGGTAAGTCCACTTTTCTGTTTTGTTCTGAATATGATCAGGCATAGGACATTCAGATCATACAGAAGCAACTATATGTCTCCAGTTCTCAAGTGATTTTTTTCAAAGATGATCATTTGTAGAGAGCTCATCAAATTTTCCATAAGTAAATTATGAATGAAGCCAGATATATGTGTCCAAGGATAATCCTGCAGGATCCAATCTGGGTCGGTCACCAGGACTAGAGGTTTTGTCTTCCAAGCTTTCAGACTCAAGCTGGACCCCATCTTCAGGAAATTTCTCTCTACTGTAGCAGAGTGGATGGGCTCCAGCACGTTTAAAAGCTTGCAAGACAAAACTTCTGGTCCTGGTGACTGACCCAGATTGGATCCTGCTAAGTAAACTATTTTTGCTGAGATGCGTCATCATCATTGTTAGTTAGTTCTGAGGAAAACAACCATGACTATATCTATATCTATATATCTTTTTGAGTTTCAGTAGTATGTTTAGGGATCCAGGATAGGAGACATAATGCAGAAGAATAATTCAAACAAATGTTAACCGTAGATATAACTCCTGGACTACTGTTTGTGACAATTCTTCATGGTGACACTTTCAAACTTGTAGATAGTAGTACTTTACTACTACAAACCTGTAGAACTTTAAGAAACCTTGATAACTTTTTAGTTAGAGCCACGGTGGCACAGTGGTTAGAGTGCAGTACTGCAGGCTACTTCTGCTGACTGCTAACTGATTGCAATTGGAAGTTCAAAAAGGTTGACTCAGCCTTCCATCCTTCCGAGGTGGGTAAAATGAGGACCCAATTGTTGGGGGCAATATGCTGACTCTGTAAAACTGCCTAGAGAGGGCTGTAAAGCACTGTGAAGTGGTATATAAGTCTAAGTGCTATTGCTATTACTATCGAGATTTGAAGGTCTAATTATTACTTTGATCTATTTACACCATTGTTTCTTTCTGGCCTAAATTAGTCTTTTTACTGATGTTTAATTTTAAATTATGTGATCAATCACACTTATAAATTATTTTCTAAGGCATTCATTCTAAAACAAAGCATTTGTCATGTCTTTAAAAAAGCAAGGAAGATTTCTCAACTGTAATAATAATAATATATGTTGGACTCTGTCCAGTATTTTACAATAATATACAGCTTAGCTTTGTATATTATTTTCTAACAATAATATTAACTTTTGCATATTAAAAATTCTTATTTGGAAGAGAGGGAAGTCCTGTTTATGTCCAGATTTTGGTTGATCTTTTCTCCAAATTAATGTGTTTAGTTTAATGAAAAGGAACCCATAACTCAAAATGGTTATAAATGCTATTTTACTTCTATTGATGCTGAATATTACTAAAGAGAAGTTTTTTCACAAAATATCTGTGCCATCTTTACAATAGTTAAGGATTTCTTGTTGACCTTTCTTTTAAACTCCTTATTCTGTTGGTCTAAGGCCCAGAAAATGCAGTTTGAGGAACTTTGTGGTGAGGAAAATATATACCCCAAGAAAAAGGCATACAAAGATTCTCGTGTAGAATGGTTTTTAACTATTGAGGTTTTCATTTTAAAATTCTGTGGACTACTGTTACTTGTTTCCCTTGGATGTAACATAGCTGCTATGTTGCACAGTCTTCAGTTGAAAACAAAACCAGATTGATGGGGCCACATTTGGCCCATGGAAAATGATCTTTCTGCTGGCTTTCTAGCAAGTTTTTCTTATTCCTTCAAAGCCACAGAAAAAGCCTGTGGTGCACATGCCACAGAGTTCTGCTGAAATCTAAACAAAATCTCCATGCTTGTGCATGCCAAAAAAAATATGGATGACTGACAATACTTGATATTGTTGTAATATTTTGTATGAAGAAAGATTTTTATGGCCATAATTATTCCGAACTCACAGTTTGACAATCGTTCTGTTTTCCTGTGTTCCCCAAACTGTAGTATTTATGGAATGTTAAGATGATGTTTTTGATTATGGTGTACTTATTGAATGCACATATGTTTTTATTATTCTGTGCATAATCAACCCCCCCACACCTCCAAATCTTCTGAGCCTCTCAGGGGATCGGTGCATTTCTAATATAGTTGTTGTTATCTTGTAGTACAGTGAGCTAACACATTTATATTAACTGACCTGTCAAATAATCTTGTCAGGGTAATGTTTATGAAATGTGTCCATTCCCAGATGTTTTATGCAGGAGATGAGGCCTCTGCATATCATAACATTTCTTGACTCCCCCCCTCCCCTTTCTTTTCTGCTCAGTTCATTAGAATGCAAGTATGATTGGAGTTTTTCTTCTCATATATAACATTTAGAATTAATTCTCAGAGTCATTTAAGTGTGTGTATTGAACTATGCTTTTCTAGAAAAAGAATATTACCGTAGTATAGAAATTATGTACTACCCCAATAAAACAGTGGGTTTTTTGTGGACTTTTTATGTAGGTAATGTATGTAGGTTTACTATGTTTTTATGTCATTTGCCTTCTGGTGGTTTACAAATGTAAGAAGGTATTATCAGGTGAATCTCATAGTTGCTTGCTTAGAGATTATAGCAGATCTCCACATCTTGAGGTAGAGCTGTTTTTCCAGTGAAGCTTTGGGCTTGGTATCTTTTATGTCCAAAGCCTGTGCTTTTCTACTCAGCCACAGCTCTTCCTCAGGGTTGCTTCCTGCTTCCTGCAATCTGGCAGCCTTCAGAATCCTCATTCATTTCTTCACATTTACTGTACCTAGCATTTAATACATCTGCGTATATGTTTATCGTGTGTATTCATTATGTGTATCAGCTAGAGCAGTGATGGCTAACCTTTTCCGGACCGAATGCCCAAAGCGCGCACATGCCCGAATGCAATGCACGTGTCTGAATGTAACCCCCCAAATGCAATGTGTGCACAGCCCCTGCCCATGCGCCCTGCCCCCCACACAAGTGCACATGGACCCCCATGCAAGCATGTGCAGCCCCCTATGCATGCATAGGCCTCAACCCGTGCATGCATATGCACTCCCACACATGACCAATCCCCCATGTGTGCATGCACATGCCCCCTGCACATGCATATGCACCTCCCCCACATGTGTGACAAAGACTCAAAGACCAGCTGGTCGGCGGGAGGTGCGTGCACATACATGGCGGAGCTGAACTGGGGCAACGGTTCGCTTGCCCACAGAGGGGGTGCTGCGTGCCACCTCTGGCTCACATGCCATAGGTTCACCATCACAGAGCTAGAATGAAACACAGTGGAAAAAAGAGTGGAACTCACATGGAAATTAATCTAGCAAAAGGTGTGTAGAATTATTCTAATGTCCTTTGGAAAGGGACAAAAATCTATGCCAAACATCTATTTGAAATGTTTTATGATTGGATTGAAAACAATTATATCCTGGCTGAAGAACAGGCTAGATGTTTTACCAGGATCAAGTGATAATCCTACAACTTCTGCTAGTGGAGAAATACACCTTTGAATCCAATTATTCCCTTTATGCAGTTTTTGTGGATTTCAAATCGCATTTGACCCCATATTGAGAGAATTATTTTGGAATGAATTGCTATCTACCAACATAGATACAGAATTACTTTTACTAATCTACTTGGTAGCAATACAAACCTGAGGGTAAGATGTGATCCCTAAGGGCAACTAACCAACTCAAATTTTAACAGCATGAGGAGTAAAGCAAGGCTGTATCCCCGCTCTATTACTCCTTTCCGTCTTAAGCTCTGTTACACATCATCTCAATGAAGGCAATGTTCACACACCAAAATTAGTTTATAGAGGCCTTTTAGTCCTTCTGTATGCTGACAACATGGTTATTATGTCATGAAGTGTGGCAAAGATGCAAAAAGCATTTATATCATTTGCTCAATATTGTGAATTAAGAAAAATTACTGATAAATTACCCCCAAAATCCTCCTAGTTCTGACCTTTTACAAAAGACCTAATATTTATCATTGATATAGCAATGGCAATAATATTCAGCTTTAATTACTTGGAGTTACTTTTCATTTTTTGGGATGGATACACTTGGCTCACCTTATAAGTTGTTCAGAGTAGTGAAACAGGTGTATTATACTTTTACCTCATTAAAGATATCATTATATTCCAGTTGCACTAAAATGTTTTAAGGCAAAAGCTATGGCACAACTATTATATGGGATTCATTACCATAACAATACCCAAAAGGATACTGTCTTCAGTTCTTAAGATCATGCAAGTTCCTAGATGTGTATTTAATTCAGCTTTAAGACTAGAGATAGGAATTACAAGGATAGAAGTCAGGATCTGGATGGTTATTTTTAATTATTGGTTAAGACTACTCTTTAATCCAACAGCCTGACATCCCTCATTAACAGAAATAGCTTCCAATCTACCTGGGAAAATATCCATTACAGAAAATCCTGGCAGCCTTGGTTTTTCTAATGAGGCAATAGTCATTAGAGCTGGGCTGGCCTAACTTCTCCAATTGTTTAATTTTAATTTTAATTTTAAATGAGGTATTTTAATTGTTGGCCAAATTGTTTAATATATTTTAAATTGCTTTTAAATTTTTGTATTCTATGTTTTTTACCTTTGGCTGTTCACCGCCCTGAGTCCTTCGGGAGAAGGGTGGTATATAAATTTAAATATAAATAAATAAATAAATAAAATACATAAAATGGAATATGGCCAAGCAAAAAAAATCACTGAAGAAGAGGATTTTTTATTCAGGATGGCAACTTTTAGCACCAAGGCTACATAGGTCTGGAGGACTGGCTTTTATGACTAATGTTAGATCACTATAAAGTCACTATTATCCACCATGTTAGCAAATTTTGCTTCATGCTACAAGAGCAAGACAACACAATATTGATCCACAACTCTATATTTCTTTATATGCCTATGGAGATTCTCAGTCATCCAGGTCATGGTTGTCCCAAAGGTGCTTTTTCAAAAGCAACTGGACTTTATTTTTCTTTGAAGAGATTTCGCTTTTCATCCAAGAAGCTTCCTCAGTTCTGATGTATTTCGTT